CTTAATGCACTTCCATCTTGAGAGCTCTACTCGAGAGATCGAAGGGTTACCTGATGGGTGTAGGTTTAGTATATCTCAAGAGAGAATATAAAATAAATTTGGGAAAATCTCAGCTTATGGGAATGACAATTAGTCTTGGATAATCGGACCCATCAATATTCATTACATTGGTTAGGTGGACCTAATGTCCTAGCGATTTCATCATTTGCATATTCGATTAGTGATCACCTTTGCTTTTACTTTCTCATGCTAATTTTTATTTTCAATAGTTCTTGCTCAATTCTGATTTTCGGTTGTCCATATAATTAGGGAAGATTGTGGTTCTAATACTTATTTTGTTAAATCCCCATGGGAACAATATTATTATACTACTTGATAACTAGTGCACTTGCTAGGGTTATATATTTATAGCTATCATCCATGTGAGTAGAGAGTGCAGCACTGTTCCTTGCAGCCGAGGGAGAGGTCCTCTCTTGTCGGGCAGTGTTTGATCATTATGGGATGAGAGGTTAAGTGTAAGGCCATTGAAAGTAATACCTAATGGGCTAATCTTGCATCTGCTCACAGTCCTTGGGTTTTTATAAGGTGATTTGGCCCAGGGACCACTTAGTGTAAGTGTTGGGTCCATTAAGAGCCCATGGTGATGGACTTAGGGGTTCACTGTCCCTTACAGTGAATTCGGCCAAGCCTCGTAATAGAAGCTAGGCTGAACCCATGTGGCTGATGTGTAGATCAATGTTTGGGTCCCACACCATACAAGGAAACCCAACTAGGCAGTAGTTTGGAGGCCGAATGAGCACATGGAATTAATGGGCCTAAAGCGCATATCGAACTGGTTTAATTTGATTAATTAAAGAGGGGTGGTTCTGGGATTTAGATCAGCAGATAGGATAGGGAGTTATCCCTATCCACTCAGAGAGTCCAGATCCAAATAGAGATTTGGATCAGGAAGCTCCTAATGACATTAGGAGGGTTGATCTAGATCTGCAGATAAGATAAGGGATCATCCTTATCTCTTAAAGAGAGTCTAGATCCAAATGAGGATTTGGATTAGGAAATTCCTAATGAGATTAGGAGCTCTATTTAGGGCTATAAAAGGAGGAGGAGGGCGAACCTCCAGTCACTCAATCAGATCTCAGATCACAGAAAGAGAGAAGACAGCAACAGTAAGACTGCGTCATCTTGTGCTCTTGCGCCCTCCTCCTGCTACCGCCATTGCCAGTTCGTTCTCCACTATAGGAGCGATCAAGAAGGGCTCTTGATATCAGTTTTTGGTGAAAAACTGATCTAAAGTCATGCTCACATACCCTCCATCGAATTCTTGCTGAAGGATTCGGTTCTTGTGAAGAACCAGCTACTGATTCTGCTCCACCCTACGCTGTGTCATCTTCAGTGGGAGCAGTCTTTGGAGTTTTCCTTGGGTGAACACCTTCGTTGGGAGTTATTGCTACTTTGTATCAGGTATATCCCTCTCCTACCTTTTGGTTTTAGATCTAGTTCGGTTTAGGTTCAAAATTGATCATTGAAAATGCAGATTTTCTAAAACAGGGAATGTGATTTCCACTTGGGAGAGATAAATTTTTGAAATTTCGCCCTACCTACCTGTAGGGTTCGACTATTCATATAATGGATCTCTCATACCTTCAGAAAGGATAGCTATGCTGACATGGCATGTATTGTTTGATTATATATTATATATATATATAGTGGTTTTGGTTTTTATCTATTTTTTCTTCATTTATTATGGTCTTCATTCATCAATAGCTGATTCATGCATTCAAAGGCTGTTTTCTTCATTTATTATTTCCACATAAATAATCAGATCACATCTGCACTTCTACATTGTTACTAAGGCTGTTTTTGGTTTTAGTGCAATTTTATTTGTACTAGTACAAATGCATGGGAGTGCAAATTCTTGTTTAATTTTGTTTTGTATTTTACTATATTCTTCTTCATGTCTTAATTTACTTCATTTGTATTGCAACCAAACGAAATAAGCTAAAATTTGAAACGAAAATAGGTCAAATTTTACACAAATCATTTGCACTGCCATGGTTTGCATCAGTGTAAATTTATTTGCATTGCAACCAAACACAGCCTAACAGTCTAACACCTCTTAAGTCTTTGTTTGTAGTGCAAATCTGAACTGAATACAAATTATCCACCTGCTTCATATGTGCATTTGTTTGTTTGCAATTAAATACTTTGTCTTATTTTTATTCATTGATAGTGCAAATTTTGCATCTCAAAAATTGATGCAAAATTTGTATTACCTTCCTACCATCTCAATTCTCTCTCATAAAAAGTGGGGAATGCGTCATCTTACTTGCTACTCATTTCCCAAATAAAAAATCCTCCTCCTACCACCATTCTCTTTCATATAGGGGAGGTATTGCATTTTTCTTCCTATTTTACTTCTCACAAAACAAATAAGGTAATATCAAACCTGAAGCAAAAGTATACTAGAATTCATGCTCTAGTCTCTACCCATTTGCATTCCCATAGATTTATAAATCTGCACTGCCAAAAAAATTGAGGCAAAGATTGCAACTTAGTTTTTCGTGTTGGTAAGGTCAGGTTAAGGGCAAGATCAACCCCAGCCCAACTAGAACTAGGTTTGAGACGAGATTCCCTGTTTTAAGCCCAGGCCAAGTCTCAAACTGCATTTCCAATCTCTGCTTTGGCCTAAAAGATCCTGATGTACGAATCCAACTGTGCAAATTTGAATTCAAAGTTGATCCCATTAAAGGTGATCTGAATTCAACCCGCCCGTTTATATAATTGGATCACATGTGGATCCACCCCATTCGATCCCATGTAATCTGATTATATTTGTTTACGAATGTATACTTAAGATTTATATTATATCTATTAATAAAGTTTATCTGAAAATTGTACTTGTACTAAATTGGCATAAGTCCAAATATGTCATTCAAGTAATTTTCAATTCATTTTGTTTATGAATGTCAATGTCATTTTTATTTCATTTTGTTAATTACATATAATATTGTGGTCATTTTTAGTTTAATTTATTTATAATGTATAATATTGGATTACAATCCGAATTTGATTTGAATACAATCCGATTTAAATTCGAATATAAACATTAAATGAATGAAATTTTAATATACCCATATCCAATATGATTCGATCTGTTTGCCTCTTTTTTTTTTGATAAGCAATCTGTTTGCATCCCTAATCCATGATTTGTTAAACAATCATCCACTCTAGTTTATAATCGCTAAAGGGGCATTATTGCTAACAGATTTTCAAATGTTCTCATATAAGTTTTTCCTCTAACCAAATCCTCATATCAAGCATCTCTTGCACTAAAAATACAACTCTGGTAGCATTTACATGCAATACAAATTACATCCATATTTCTACCTTTAAGCAACGTTGAATGAATTTGCAGTGTCCTCAACAAACTTCCTTGCCCCCTTGAACCATCTCTTGTCTCCAGCTTGTGCCTTGCATATGTAGAGCTTCCCGTCAGAAACAGTGGCTGTGATTATTTGGTGCTTGCCACCTTCATCTCCATCAGCCGTCCTTGTCAAAACGGAGAGGTAGTAATATTGCTTCCCGCCGACCACCGGAGTCGATGTCTCCAATATATTTGCGGTTGCTACGACATCCGGGTCAAATCCACCCTAACATAATATCATTTATGATGAATTGTTACACAACACGTGATGATATATGCCATTATACTGAATCTAGGGCTGTCAATGGATTGGCTCTGACTGAAATTGAAATTGGAATCAATTCAATAAGAAATATTAAGGAACCATAATTATATATATTCTAAAACTGTGAAATGGGTCGAGTCTATCCAACCGAACCATGACTGGAGGTCCAGTTCATGGATGCATGAAAAATGCCTGTTTTATAAACATATAATCAGGTTTAATATTGAATTATTTGTTGTCTTTTATTAAGGTTAGATTAAAAAATATGAGGTCTAAAATTATTATAATTATTATAGTACAGGTAATTACAGATGTCAATTGGCTCTTATCAGATCATGCCCACTTAACCCGATTAAAAATCGTTTCTGTTCTGGTCTGGTTTGGGACCGGGTCCATCCTTTCTTGATGGGTCCACATAGGATAGTGTGAATGGTTATTATTTGGATTAATCTTGTACCAATCGCCAAACAGTTCCATGTTTGCAGGACTTGCAATTGCAATGGAACTCAGCATCCAATCAATCTCTTTAGAGACCTTATGGGCCCCATAATGGGCCGAATTGTATCATCATACAATCTCATTTCGTGGATCATCCATAGATCAAAGTTTCGTGAGATGTATGTATATGGATAGTGGTTGTCTGTAAGGGTTAGGTTTGAGCCTTGAGGTCCACTAAAACATGGGCCCACTGGACTCTTTCAAATCACAGCAATTGAAAATCTTACCTCGGAATCAGTTTTGCCAAAGTAAGCTTGCTTCCCCAGCAAATAGTCCACCTGTACAAATCCACCGTATGGGTCAGTTAACATCTTTGGCTGGGGGATTTCAGGTTTGTGGATAAAAAAGAATCTAGGACAAATGACTATCAAAGGATGAGTAAATTCCATATACACAAGATACAAACCTCAGTTTAGCGGAATTTGTAGTTCTTCTGAAAAAAAAAAAAAAAAGCAAGGAAATTACCTTAGAGAGGAATTCCTCCGGCGCGCCGAAGTCCGTAATGGATTTCTTATCAGTCGGAGTAACCATAACAGCAACGTTGCTGTTGGCGTCGAAGTTATCTTCGTATCTCAGGACCTGACCAGGGTACTCGATTTCTTTGCTGGGGTTCCATTTCGATGGAACCAAGAGCTTGAATCCATCTCCGGTGACGGGCAAGAAGTCGGTGTTGGTCTTTGGCTTGCCGAATACATTCGCTGAAATTAAGCATAGACCAATTAATTGAAAATAATTGGTTTTGTGTGGATTTAATAAGAAAATAAATAAACATTACCGGCTTCACCGTAGGCGGCATCGGCCGGAGAAACCTTGGTTCCGACGGCGGCAGCGCCAATGAGAACCGTAAGAGCCAGTCGGCGGGAGACGGCAACATTGGCTTCGTCGTCGACGGCCTGCTTTTGGGCCCTGCAGACGACCTGGGTGGGCTTGATGTTGAAGACGTGGCGCTGTGAGGAGGATCTAGTAGGGGTAGAGAGTGCATGGTGGTGGAGGAAGCACGAAGTGGACGCCATTGCTGTTGTTCACTTTCTCTCCCACTCTCTCTCTCTCACTCACTTTCTCTGCTCTCTGGTTTCTGAGATCTCTATTTCCTGTGTATGCTTTGTATTGTGGGAGAGGGTTGAAAAGCTGAGGCGGGGTCTTTGTTTTGTGACGTGTGAAGGAAAATTGTTGGTTTTGGATTTTGGATGGGGAAATGGATGATGGAAAGATTACATTTCTAGGGAGATAAGGTTTTAGAGGTCCTGATTGGTGCAATCTTTATGTCTTGCATTCTCTCTCGGTTGGGCTTACGTGGCTCACACGTGACTGACCACACGCCGCACGTGTGAGTGCATTCTTTCTGAATGATATAAACCGTCCGATTCTCTCGTATTGGATAGGTGGACCCCGAAGAATGAGATGCTCATAATGGTTGTTGAATTTAAATTTTAACATTGAGATATCCTATCCCATTTGGCTTTTTTCTTGTCATGAATAACCCATTTGTCATTAAAAATAAATTCCTTCAACCAATTATATGAGTGCCACGTATCCTACACATAATGGTCTATCAATTGGTCTTAGGGAGATACTAGTAGGGACCATGGACAGATGTTAAAAGAAATTGGGGCAACAGTGTTATGACAATATCAATTAGGTCAAGTGGTACTAAGTCCAATGCAAATTAACTATTTTTTAACTCTTGAGTTATATTGTCTAATAAACTAATTAAAAAACCAAAAATCTAGAAGGGATTAACTTTATTAACAATTTTTATTAATTTGTATCAATTTTAACAAATAAAATAAGTTTTTCTATGTTTGTTAACAATTTTTATTGTTTCTAATTATGTTAATGTTTTATTAATTTTTAAAAATTTATAAAATTAATTTTACTAATTTTAGAGTAAGTTAATAAACTAAGTTATTTAATTTGTTTTAATCAATAAGTTAACTGTATAAATGAAGTTATTATAATAACATTTTTATTTAATTATTAAATTTTTAATTTACTTTTATTATTTGTCTTATTGTATTATCTATTTTTCTGTTATTAGTATTTTAGATTTTTTTATTCATCTTATCAATATTTAAGCTTTAACCTAAACTTTATTCAAAAAATAGTTTTAACTTAAACATTAATATTTTAATAAATTGATCAAAAATTAAATGCATATATAAAGATAGAGATTGAGAGATATAGGGGGAGGGAAAGAAATATTAAAATTAATTAGATTTATTTGGCATGTGAGATAGATTAGGAGATGTTTTAGTAAAAAGTTTTAGGTGGACGAGATAGCTTAGGAGAAGAGATGATTTGTGTGTGTGTGTGTGTGTGTGTGTGTGAGAGAGAGAGAGAGAGAGAGAGAGAGAGAGAGAGAGAGAGATTTTAGGAAAATAGGGGTGTAGAGGTGGCAACTTGAGAATGTAGGAATGGTATCTTGGGGATGAAGAAGAAGGCTTAGTTGGGGTAAGGGAGCAAGGTAAAGACCATTGACATGGCATGTTTTGTTTTGGGATATATACTAGTGGGGACCCATGTGAAGCATGGGATTTGTCAAAGGAAAGTGAAATAACAGAAACTAAAACCTATTATAAGAAAGGAATGCGATGTTATTTAAAATAATTAATCTTTACTTTAGTAATTTGTTGCAAAAATAACTTAGTAGTTTAATAATTTGGATTAATTGTGTTAACTATTTGTAACAAAAATAATAAAGTATTGTTAATTACTTAATAAAATAATTATTTTTCCATATTATCTGTTTTATCATATTTTATTTATTTTACTTTATTAATGATTAAATGTTATATTTTTTGCAAATATTACTAAATATATAAAATTAGGTTGTAGTCATAATTAAATTAATTAATAGATTAACTTTCTATTTTATATTTATATACATTTATTATACATATATACTTTAAAAAATTAATTTTTGGTCATTTTAAACACAATAAAAGTTTATGGATTAAATCCAAATCCAATCCAAAATTTGACATAATAATCAGAAATGGATGTGGATGCAATTGGATTTGATCTAAATTCAATCCATTTACAACCCTATAGCTTGCATTATGTGTGGGTTTGGTGCATATTCAAGCAAGAGCTAGCTTAGAAGAAAATAGTTACTTGAGCCCAGACATTGTAAGTCTAGTTAGGTTGGGATAAGTTATGAAAGGTCATCCCTAAGTAGGAGTCTTGTGACATATCTAATTGGGTCATTATTAGTTTTATCATTTTAATTAATTTTTATAATTTTTATATGGAATACAAATGGTTTGTTTTATCACTGTTAGTAATTTTTTTACTTTTTATTATTAATTTTAATTATCATATTAATCTTATTTATTTTTAAATAGAATTCAAGTGTATTTTAATTTTTAGTTGAACTACTAATTTTTATTAATTTCTTAATAATTAATAGTTGCTAGATAAAATTTGCTAAAATTTAATATTTTTTATTAACTTTAGTTATTATGTCTCAAATTATAATTTTCTAACAATTAACCAATTAAATCGAATTTAACTATAAAACAAATAAATGGAATTTGGATAAAAGTAAACTCTCTCTCTCCCTTGAATACAATGAGCTAATAATGGAAGAGGCCTATAGAAATATGCTAAAATAGGCTAATAATTGAAGGACCCTATAGAAATAAATAGAATTCTCTCTCTCTCTCTCTCTCTCTCACACACACACACACACACATTATTTTTAAGTGATATAAACTATTTATGGTAGTTATGTTAACTAATTTTCAAATTGTTATTTGTTTATAAGCTTGATTGGGTCCACACTAGCCTTGAAAATTGTGGGCCTAATGCGAGATCAAGCCTAAGCCAAATTGATGAAATGATTACTCCTAAGAAAATTGCTTTTGGTTTATTGGATTAATGAGAGGAGAGAAAATAAAGTAAAAATAAATTAAAGAGGAAAAATGAAAACTAAAAATAAAAAGGAAAAATGAATCAATGGATTTTAAAAAATTTAATGGAGTAGGTGATAGGAGAGAGAACCAGTGGAGCAAGTTATTAGAGGAGAGGGAATTAATGAAATGATCAATGAGGAGAGATAATCAAACGAATTAATGAAAAGGAGTTAATAAGGAGAGATGAAAGTATTAAAGACTTAAAATTAATTGGCTACTTGAGTTATTTTGTTCATTTTAAAAATAAAAATTCAAAAGAGGCCTACTAATTAATGGTAGGCCTAGTTTTAATTTCTATACTACTTTAAAAAGCATGAATAGCCTTAGAATATTTTTGGAATTATCTGAGGACAAAATTTGCCCCTCCATGTTTAAGTTTATTTTATATAAAATTGAGGGCGAATAGGGTAATCTCTTATTACCATTAATTGATTTTAAAAGATGTAATTATAATACAACTATTGCCTTCCATTTAACCTCTTTTTGGAATTTTATGATAGCTATAAATATATAACCCTAGCAAGTGTACTAGTTATCAAGTAGTATAATAATATCGTTCCCATGGGGATTTAACAAAATAAGTATTAGAATCACAGTTTTCCCTAATTATTTGGACAATCGAAATTTGGAATTGAAAAGGAACTACTGATAATAAAACTGGAGTAAAGAAAATAAAAGCAATGGTGATCACTAATCAAATATGCAAATGATGAAATCGCTAGGACCTTTGGTCCACCTAACTAATGTAATGAATATTGATGAGTTTGATTAACCAAGATTAACTGTTATTCTCATAAGCTGAAGTTTTTCTTTATTTTATTTAATATTCTTTCCCAAGATATATTAAACCTATTTCTATCAAGTAACCCCTCGATCCCTCGACTAGAGTTCTCAATAATAGAAATGCATTAAGTGCAAGAAAAACTCAAATATTCAGATGAATCTGAAAGAATGGTAGGATCCATCTAATGGACGCCATAAAGGTTGCGGAATGGGTGGGCAAATTTCAAAAATTTTCCT